AGGAGTTTTGCTCTCTGACATGCAGTGGCATGTGCACTGGGTCTATCGTGCTCCAAGCCAAATCTTCAGCAGCGGGGTCTCCAGTAAATTAAACGATGTTGCTACAGTGGGAGTGCTCATGCTTGGGATCTCTTTCTTCTTCCCTTTCTTCTCAGAAGAATGGAGCAGTACCACAGTCCTGCCCAGAGGTCATGACAGGAGACAGGAGGTCAGGCTTGGAAAAATATTTGGGGTCAAGTATGCTCTGAATAGACTGGATTAGAGGGGTTGGGCATGTGGGGAGGAAGAAACTATTTGCAGCAAATCCAGTGTCAGCCATGTGAACTGAAGGACAGGGCTGGAGGCACAGTGTGGGAAAGTAGGCAAGCAAGCCCGGCAGCTTCTTTTTGCTGCAGGGTTCGAATACTGACGTACTTTTCAGGTTCATTTCGCACAAACTTTTAGGGAAGTGTTCTTGTCTTTTGAGACATTCATTTTGGTACCTGAGACCCTTGGGAAAGAAGAGAACTGGCCATCGTCATTAGATCAATGACAACCTCCTTTCATCCTCCTTTCCCCCTCTTCCTCCTCATATTTTTCTCATTTTCTCATTACAGAAGCAAAGACCTCTGCTCAGTTCTCTCTCTCGTCTCTTCACTTGACCCATTACATTCTGTCTTCTGTGTTTCCTCACACCTATCCTTATTCATTTTCCTTCTTAACCTTTCTTTACTACTCCCCATTTTTAAGGAATGCAGATCTCTCTCAGCTCCAATTTTTGCCCTAATCTCCTTTCTGCTACTGAGAGGTCACTTTTCTCGCTTGTCCCTTTGACCACATCACCTGCCTCTTCACATCCTCCATGGGCTTCTTCTGTTTGGTTACATCGTACATCAGGTAGTCATCTTCACTGCCAGCACCCTCGGGTTTGTGGCACTCTGCCGGCCTCAGTGAGTGTGGAGGAGGCAGCCCCCGGGGCCCAGCGATGCTGCACTGCCAGGTGCCGTCTCACACCGCATATGCTTAGCCGGTGCCCTTCTGCTTGTCTCACGCAAACAGCCTTAAGGCTGTTTCAGGCCGCGCTCGTATCTGATCTTAGTAGTCCCTTTTTCTTTGATGCCCGTAAAGGTATCTAATAGCAGATAAGGCATGGCAGCATTAAGTTTTCTGAAACACTTCCACTGATGTGCTTCCTCTCTCTGTTGTTTGGCTCCTCTGGCAGCATGTCTGCAAGCGCTTGGCTGACAGTGTAATCTTCCCGGGGCAAGGCAGTCCTTTGGCCTTTATCTGTGCAGGGCAGAGAGTCCCATACCATGATGACAGCACTCGCTCTTTTTAGTAGTAATGACGATAGCAGGAAGAGAAGTAAATACTACAGTTCCATGCTTGAGGGTCACAACAGCTATCGTAAGTTAAATAGAAACTGGCCACCCAAGCCCTGAGTTTTCACTTGGAGAGGGGCTTAGCTTAGAGAAAATGGGAGTGGGGAGCAAAAGATTGTGGCTCCATGCCAGCTTTCCTGGGAAATGAGAGGCTGAGGCCGCTTGAGACTGGCTCGAGGGCTGCCCACTTGCTAGTTGATGCGTAAGTTTAAGAAAGAGGCAAGACGTCAATGTTTCCTGGTTGCAGACATTGCATGCTGGTTGCATGCCATACCCATCTTGAGACACCTCATGCCATGCTACCTTTTCCTTGGTACCATGCCTAACCTGGGATAATGCATTTCACTCTTGAAGCAGCTATTTGAAATCATTGCCAGATCTGGGTTCTCCTTGGGAGCAGGGCTTACAACACTCAGGAAGACATTTTCTGGACTTCCCGGACAGTTGCAAGGCTGGGATCAGATCAGCATCTAGTTGCTCAGGTTTAACTTCAGTTCTTCGTTTCCCAGGAGCCTTTTTACATCCAGGAAAATGACAGTTTGAGCCTGTCTTTTGGAGCTGCTGTGTTCAGGTCAGGCTGTGTCTGCATTCTCATTTCCATCATCTTTCCTGAATATGACTAACTCTTTCTGTCAGGGCTGGGTGACCAGGCGTCTGCCTGGAAACAAAACAAGCCCACTTACTACATTTCCTGTTGTTCGCTAGCCTGTCCAGCCTGCCTCTGTCTCCCCCAGCTGATAACATCACATTAAAAGATGCTGACGTATTTCCTTGCGTTGCTACTTCTAGAAGTCATCTCTGCGTAGAGTTCAATCTTTTTTTAGCTCTTTTACAGGCCCCTTCTCTGACTGTGGGCAGTCATTTGAACTGCCCTCTGTCCTGTCCTGTTTCTTCATTTGCAGTATAGGCTACTCCTTCACTAGTTTGCGGAGCGCTTGTGGGTTTGTAGCACTTAGAGGTTCTTCCTTGGAAATCAGGGTAACAGTATAAAACAGCATTGTCTGAAAGAGACCTGCACGTTATTGGCACCTAGGATTTTTTAAGGTGGTGGGGAGGAAGTTGTTGGCAGTACATCTGATCATATCTAACTTCCTGGATGGGAAATTGCATGTTGTCTTGTCTCTGAGGAAGAGCTCTGTAGTCTCCTCCTCCCCGACCCCACTGTTCTGAAAACATTGATTCTCCCAGTCACTGAAGCAGCCTTTTATCCGGAAGTAGCCTAGGTGTCATAGGCAGCTATTCACTGGGCAGATAATACCTCTGTTGAGCATAACCGAAGAGGAGTGGTTTCATTCCCTTTAGGTAGATTTTTTTGGAGGGTCTGTGTCTTTCTGCCTCTTATTAGTATCTTCTGAGGGTGGTTCTGCCAAGGTGAGGTGATACTGCTCTACAGGAGGATTTTGGATGCCTTGCACAGCTCCAAGAGAGATGGGAGAAGAATGCTTTCCCCAGGCTCCTTTGCAGCATGTGGCTGGCAGGAATGGTGGTAATAGATACCCTAAAAAAGGGGCAAAGTGGACTCTCAGCAGTGGCAATATCCTGCCACCTCTCTCTCCCTCTTTCTCCCTCTCTCTTGGCCAGGCTTGTGGCTGGAGAGGGCAGCTAATCTTCTTCTGGGTGGTGGATCTGACTTTGCAGCATCCCCCTGGCAGCCCTGGGAAGACTTCTGGCTGTGTCAGCCAAAATTCCTCCTGGGGACTTTGCTGCAATGCAGCACACCACACCCCTGCCAGCGCTGGGCTCAAGCCTGGAGGGGTTGATGCTGTTCAGCTATAGACCTGCACTGCTATGGAGTTCCCACCTCCTCTTCCAAATTAGCCCCGATGATTTCAGATTGCTTGGCATTATCTCCCTGGGGCAGTTGGTGTCTGCAGCGTGTGTCAGCGCAGCCTTGCGCACATTTGGTTTCACAATGTGCTGCCTGCAGAAAGCGCTCGCTCCCTGAAGGGAACGGCTGTGGTTTCATATTTCATTTCCCTTGTACACTACACCCGAATTCCAGACGCTTGCTGGCTTTACTGCTGCATGGGCTCAGAGCACAGGTCTTTTGCCGAATCCAGCAGACAGATAGGGCTTCCCTCAGCTCAAGGGAGTGGACCATGAAGACGTCAATTTTATTTCTGCTTTGCCTCTCAGTTTTCCCAGGCTTTTCCCAGGGCAGAGTTGTTGGAGAGGATGAAAGTGGTTTTGCTGAATGTAATGTGTTCTTCTCTGGACAAGTCCCACCAGAAGGATTTACCGAGCCGTTCCATGTGAAAATCTGTCAGCAGTACAACAAAGAGCCACGATTTGCAACACTCTACAGTACTAAGGACAAAATCCCTCTTTATTCAGCTTTTAAGTATACAAAACCAGCGCAAAATGAAGAGGAGGAGTGGCTGGTTGAACCGCAGGTAAGTCAACCTTTCCTTCACTGTAAAGCAGATGTTCCTTGAGAACATTTCCTCTGAGGTGAAGATATTAGCTGGGGATGGGATCTTGCAAAGGAGTCAAGAGCTTGTGGAACCTCTTTTGATATGAATTTACTGCAGCCAGCTTATTCTGGTGCTTGGAAGTGAACAAATAGTTCCTTATCCCACGGAGCTTGTACTGAAAAATAAGAGGCTGCTGCATGGGCTGTGGAATGTGAGGGGAAAAGAAAATCGTCTTTTACCCGGTAGGATCTGTTTGTCTCGTTTAGCTAGCTACCTCAATTAGGGAGCACTGCTGGTGGATAATAGGGTTAAACATTTCAGTGTCAGGCTGAAGGCTGCTCGGTTGCCAGCATGATCCTAGTGTTGATAAGGGCTCTTTAGCTTCACTGGACAGGAATAAAACATGCATTTGTGGCTCACCAAGTTGACACAGCAGCTTTTTGTTGTGTTCCTCTGTTGCAGATACTGGATAGAGAAGTGGATTACAGTGTCCTGGAGCAGAAATGTTTCAATTGAGTCAGAAGTGGGCAGTATAAAGAGAATATCACTACAGCCTCAGTGGTTTTTGCCTCCCTTGACACTTGACATGTTTAACCAGGTCCTTCAGGCTGTTATATTTAAATATATTTATATTTAAATATTTATATTTAAGTATTTTAACCCTTAAACAATTGCTTGTGCCTTAAGAGAACGAGCACACTTTACTTGACTTTTTTTGCAATATTGCAGTTATTTCAGCAGTGAGCATGGGCAGTATTGTAGCAAACACCAAGCTCACCTTGTCTGTTCAGCTCAAGAAAGACTGGCAGTTTCTGAGGGTGCTCTGTAAGGACCAGAAGCAGTCGTGGTATTCGAGTAGCATGTTGCCAGCAGGGCCCTCGTGTGCTAGGTGCTGTACATACCCAGAATCAAAGCTCATCCTTGTCCCAAAAGGGTGGCTGCTGTTCATTTTCCTTCTAGGATGCTGAGATATTAAGGCATTAAACACTTCCCACAAGGTGGCAGGAAGTGAAGGCAGGGTTCTGAAACCCTGATTTTGAGCTTGGACCATCTCCCTGCTCTCAGTGCTGGGTTTTTAATTGCAGGAGTTCCTGGGAGCCTTTTGAACTTCTTTTCTTCCACTCCGCAGATGCCCGTAGGAGGTGTCTGCTTGCTCTCTTTAAACAGAGGGAAGGGTTTTTGTACACTCTGCCATTATGGAGATAAGGAAGTGTGATGAATTTTTAAAGCACGGAGAAGACCTAGACGAGTAAACATCTGCTGTCTGTGCTGTGGAGGCAGCAAAGCAAAGTGGCAGAGATGAGATCCTTTCCCATTTGCCTTGGCCACTGACCGCCATTGTCACCTCTAGGCACCATAGCTCCTCCTGCCCTTGCAGTCTGACTCACCAGAGCTGCTGCAGCAGCTGTGCAGGCCCAAATGCCTTTTCTGCTCTTTGGACTCCTCAAAGTCCCTTCACAGCAGGTTCCCTGTGCAGGTCTCCAACACTTCTCTGCATCCAGTTCACTCTGTCCCTTGCCACTTCTTCGCTGACCTGGTGATTGGCCCCCCTAGCACCTGCTAACACCTGAGCCACACCTCTTACATTTCCTGCTTCAGAAATATATCTGAGCCCCCAAAATTATTGCTAGGCTCTACCCTTAGTTGCTCTGACTTTGCACTAGTGTAGCCCCAGGGGTAGCTGTGAATCTGTTCCCTGTTACACTAGGGTCTGACTTAGTCCCTACAGATCAGTTGTAGTATGAAATAAACTGAGAGTTTTGAGGATTTTTCTTCCAAGGAGCAAGCTACTCCTCCCAGTACTAAACAAGACAAATCCCCTGAATTATTTTACCTCCTTCTCACTCTTGCTTGCTTGTTTTGTTCTTTTTCAACTCAAAAACATCCTTTAAGTGACAATATTGTTCTTATTTGAAAGGATACACCACATCCACACACATGATTAAGATAGACAAGATACTGAGCTTCCCTCAGGACCAGAGAGCTTTGGGCAAAAATGCTTTACCTGTGGAAATGCTTCCTAAGCAAGACTTAGCCTTTGGCCACAAGGAAAGATCCCAGTACGGCCAGCTTAGAGAAAGCTGCGCTGGGGATGGGGGGGCATCTTTACTGAGCCATAACACTGCAAGCACCTGTATCACGTCAGGTGGCATCACTAGGGAAACAAGGAGGGCCGAGCAAAGATCATCTCCATCCTGATTACACTAAATTCCCCAGTATGGTCCTGGAGGTTGGAAGCCGTTCTTATTTTGACTAAAAGCATTTACTCAGGGAATTTGCCCACAGCTAATTGCATGCTCAAATTCTTATGGCCTGGCCGTTGGCCATAGACCCACCTACTAGAGTATAGAGATGGGACGAAGGCAGGAGCAAGGCTGTCAAGTGGCCACAGGCCACTCCGTTTTCTTTCTCGCTCAGGAGAACCATGCCTTGGGTGAGCAGTGGAGACTCCTCTCTGGGCTGATCTGTGATACCTTATATGCAGAGAGCAGGAGTGAGAGGAGTCCCCAAAGCCAGGCAATGCGAGGATACGAGTTTTCTATGCAGCTGATTTGGCCTTCCAACTCACACGTACTCAATGACGTGACCATGCTGGACTTTTCGTTTTGTCAGCTACAGTATGTGCAGGAGTCTCCTTCA